GATATATTTTTACTAAGAATTCTTTTATTTTCTTATCCATTTTTGTTCTTACAAAATTATTACTATGAATTCTTGCTAATAAATTCAAATTAGGATTTTATACACGAAAATATCTAAAAATAATACGGGATATCAAAGCTAAATTAAATTGATTAATGTCAAAATTCTTTGCACTTTACTTCAAAAGGTCTTTTGTCCGAATAGCCTACTTAATAATATTTTTACTATTATGTTAATTTTTTTTCGTGAGCCCTGTTTGTGACAAATATTTCGCAAAAATTTTTATGAATTTATACTTAAGTTATTCAGACAAAATAAATTGTGTTCATTATATTATTAACACAAATTATACTAATACATATATGAAATAAAAAAAGATGTTTAAGAGACAGTATTTCTATGAGATATTTATAGAACGATTTTCTTGTTGCTAAGGTTTTCGTTACGTACTAATTAATTGCCGATCCGCATGTGATCAATAGATAGTATATAGTAAATTACGGCGCTATAATTACTAATAAAAAAATGCTTATTTGAAATCTCTATTTTCTTAAGAATCTACATGACAAATGTTCATATAACCCCCAGAAAACTTGTTGTAACTGGTACTATCATACCAGAACTTCACTACGGTCCATACTTATGTGACTGGTGGATTTTTTTTAAAAAAAGTCAAAATGTGCCATCTCCGATTCCAATATGTTTGGGACTTGAGGTTATAGTACAACTTAATAAAATGTCTTTTATTATTCATGTATTCATTATATACATAGTCATTTACAGCCTGGTTATATATGTGAAGGTGGCAGACAAAGTAGTGATATTGTTACAAGTTCATCTAATGCAATTACCTTAGTTTACCAAGCCATTTTTGGTACTAAAACAAAGTTTGCGAGCCTTTCATATTTGGGCTTAGAGCAAACTGAAACATCACAAAAATTACTAGAAGGTGTTGTTTTTTATCCCTTTATTATTAAAGTAGAAAATTTATCTATATTTGTTAGTTCTCTTGGTAAAATCTCACATTCAAATCAAAAAACAATTGAATACAATTATACATCTTTATTGTTTTATAAGTACAAATCGAAACAATCAGTTTTTTTTCAAAGTGTGAATAAAAATAATTCATATTCGATTATAGTTTATCAAAACAGTCAAATTGTTGCAGAATATACAGATAATTCACCCAACGCTATTTGGTGTCAAACTGGTGTGCTAAAATCTATTCTGGGTGACACTTTATTCGCTATATAAAAAAAAAAAATTCGCTAATAATAACTAGTCAACTTAGTTGAACAACATATTTCATTTTGCTAACCATTTTATAAATTGATATTTATTTTAGTTAATAGTGAAGAATCAGATGAAACATCAAATGCTATAAAAGGTAATCATAAATATATATGTCCATTTTCTATGTATAAGAAAAAAATTCAAAAATACATAAGCCTAGACACTAGTTATCATATTACATACTTGTTTGATCTAATATCAGCTTGTTACTTACCCTTCATCCACTCATCATGAACCTACTCACGAATTCATCCCTCACCACAAACCTACAAATCAACCTATTCACCATAAACCAACCTATAAACCCAACTACAAATCCACCTACAAATCTATCTACCTGAAAGATTCAAGGTATTTGTTCAATAATATACTATTCGGTATTCTTTTCATGTGGATTAACTTTTTTTTATAGTGTAGATCAAGACTTCCCTCTAAATATAGGAAGGGCCCTAAAAGAAAATATGAAACTTGGTAAAAAGGTGCAGAAAAAAACATATCAAAGAAAGTAGTAAATACTTGCAAAGTTTTTTTTAGCAGGAAATTTGAGAGCCGATGATCGTTACTCACCTAAAAATATGCATGCCAGTTTAGAGTAATTGGCTGTAAATGGAGAACTTACTTTCGAGAAAATACCTTCAGTAAAAACCATAAAAGGTTAGATAGGAAGATACAGCGCAAATTTCAAAAAAGAAGCATTGGAAAAAGCACTGTCAGAAAATAATAGTAATATTTTAGCATTTGAAGAGACTAGTAGTAAATATCAAAAAATAGGTAGAATCTAACTAAACATAAAATTTGGCAAGTAATATTATATGAAATCTTTCTTTCCTATATATAAAACTTTTCAAAAGTATAAAGTAATAAATAGTTTATGAATATGAGTAACATGGTTTAGATTTGTACTACAGTACTACATGCGGCAAATATAATTTATAAAATTAAATAGTGAATGATTTTTTTTTTATATGTATAAAGTATACGCTTAAGTTACTGTATTATAAATTTTGCGCCTATGAAAATCTATTGGTTATATGCAGATCTGCAATTAATTATTCATCTTCCTAAATAAATTCTTGAAACAAAAAATGTGTTTTCAAAATTCTTTACACCTTACTGCAAAAGATTTTTTGTCTGAATGGTGGGTTAATTTTTTTTGTACTATTTAATGTATATTCTTGCCATTTCTGAGTTGATATATTTTTTACTAAGAATTCTTTTATTCCTTTCTTTTAGTACATTCTTTGGATTATATCATTAACTGCCTTATCCATTTTTGTTCTTACAAAATTATTACTATGAATTCTTGCTGATAAAACAAGGACAATTTTGACAAAATATTCTTGAGCATTTCCAAGTGGAAAACTGAATATTTTATTCCTAAAATAGATACAGAAATTCTGTGAGAGATTCACTTGTATAACATTTAAAAAAATATAAATACATTATTTTTTTACCATTATTGCAATTAACATTATCATCAGGAAAAATCCAAACAAATTCTATATAACTTTTTAAAAAATATAAATATTATTTTTTTTTTTTTACCTCATCCAGTACAAATAAATGCCGGTTGTTGCTCACTTTTCCAAAGTTCATTTTTCTGAAATACCATTTCACCGAAGTCATAACACCGGGAATCCATTTTACTGTTGGGACAGAAATAGGTCTGTGTCATTTCACCGAAAATCAATTAACCGACAAGTTTATTTCATTGACAGTTTATTTAACCGGCAGTCATTTCACCACAAAGTAATTCTGGCCATTGTCGTTAGAGTCAATTTAGGATTAGAGTTAAGATTAGTGCAATTTTTAAAAAAAAACTATCAGTGAAATGAGCTGTCAGTGAAATAATTGTTAATAAAATAAACTTATCGGTTATTTGATTTTTGGCGAAATGACTCGGTCCTGCTAGTAAAATGGATTTTCAGTATTACGACTTCAGTGAAATAGTGTTTCAGAAAAATGGATTTCGGGAAGTTAAACCGGAACCATAAATGCCATATTGAACATTAATTCTAACTAATCCATATACCTTTTGTCACTTTTATAGTCTGTAAGTTCTTTACATACGACTTGTTTTTTTTTACAGTAAATAATGGTACTAAGTTCTTTACATACGACTTTTTTTTTTTTTTTTTACAGTAAATAATGGTACAAATAAATGCCACAAATAAATGCCACAAATAAATGCCCTATCGAACATTAATTCTAACTAATCTATATACTTTTTGTCATTTCAGCAGCAAGTAAGTTCTTTACATACGA